ACTTCAGAGTTTTAAGGTAATACTTGGCTTATAAACATAATAATACATGCATACATTATTTTTAGGATGTTTATGATCCATCTTCATACACAATTTAATATTTATAGTTACAATGGCCCGTTAATGGCCACTGTCCAACTGAAACATATAAGAATGTTTTTGCATGTATGTCATGTTTAACATTGTACAAAAGACTTACCTCAGTAAATGTTGCATACTTTTTGAAGCTCTTTTACCATACATCATTTGAAGACTGCTAAGTGGTGCTAGTGGTATCATATTATCACAGGCTGTAAGAAATTTAAAAAAAGAAAATAAGGTTAGGTTGGCCTTTGAATGTCATAGTACAGGGTTGGGCACAGAAACTTCCTTTTCATGAAGGCGAATGTGCCACGTCACAGTAGGAAGCGGTTCCGCGTCACCGCGCGTTGCATAGCTACCAGGATGCGGGGACTTGGTTCACTTCGGTTCCGCTCGGCACATCACCGCGGGGAGAGTGGCGGGGTGCTGACTCGCCTATTACGCGAGCGCTACGTTACCGCCACGTGCCGCTGATGAGGTAGGGGTCAACATGTCACAATATGTTTAGCTAATGAAAGAACTTACTTTAAACTTTTAAATCATGTAGTTTTAAACAAAATATATTGAAGGTGGTGGTCACCGTTCTCTATGCACTGATGCAACCGTTTTCTGAAGTTCCCCTCTGCACATTCCAACATGTGCACCAGAATCTGGGCTACTTCCTGCCGAATAAGATTTTTCAGTTGAAGCAGGTTTGTGGGGCGATGTTTAAGAACCTCTGCCTTGAGGTATCCCCATAAAAAAAAAACACAGGGCATTAGATCAGCTGAATGTGCTGCCCACAGGATGTCACCTCGAAGCGAGATGAGCCATCCGGGGAACTTTGCCCTCAAAACTCTCATCGAAGCTCGGGCTGTGTGGGCCATGGCACCATCCTGTTGGAACCAGACATTTCCTAGATGCATTTGTTCAAGAGCTGGTTCAAAAAAGTTTTTAATCATGTCCACATACCGCTATGAATTGACAGTAACTTCTTCAAAAAAAAAAAGGGCCAATAATTCCAACTCTTGACAACACACACCATACTGTCACCTTATCACTGTGAAGTGGCCTCTCATGGAGCTCTCTGTGATTGTTACCACTCCAATAGTGCATATTCTGCTTGTTGACATATCCGGATAGGTGAAAATGTGCCTCATTACTAAAGAAAACAGGTGCATCAAGGGGTAAAGTTTCCAATAACGTTTCGCACACCGTTATTCGGTTCTGGAAATCACGTGGTGACAATTCTTGCACAACAACCATTTTATAGGGATGGAAATGAAGATGTTCGTGAAGAATTC